AAAATCCCAATCAGCAAAAACAATCCAATAAAAAGAACAGGCGCGTTTATTGGCAAATAATATCCCCATGGTCAAAATAAATAATTCTTAGCTGTAACATGAAGAATAGAATGTTATATAACTCTTTGGAAAATATTAAAGTGCTCGGGCACATATATAGGCTGAGATAGGGGCCATTTAGTTCAGTAAGGTTGTATTGACTTACATCACGGTAGGGATTGTCATCACGTGACCTTCGCAACTGATGGTGTCTGAACAAGTCATAAGATTTTCTCGATTAAGCAAGAAAAACGAATAATTTTCATATTTATACTTTGTTAAATGCTTCAAATCCCGCCCCACTTGTGCATATTATCTCAGTCTTTCAAATGAACCTAAATTTACAAGCAGAGGACGCATATTTTTTGAGATATCACTGTTTTTTATTTCGAAAAATGATGGTGTCTGAACAACTCTTAAATTCTGCATGATGGTGTCTGTACACATTTTAAAATACACTACTTGGAAAGTAGTCCTCGTGTTTTCATGTGTTTTTTTATAAATACATCTGCTTCTTTCCAATGTGTTAAACCGAAATCAACGTAGAATTGTGATGTCTGCCTGTTATCACTGCCATCCATTGGTTGAATTTCCAACATTCACTGAAAGATTTGCAAATCATGTGTGGGACAATAATCCATCAGAGGAATTGTATTGAATTGAATTGTCACCAGAAACTGGGCGATTAAGTTAATTGATCAGACGTTATTTATCCAATATTACAAAAGATTACTTGATGTACTTGAATAAAACAATATAACATGAATCCATCAATCGATTTAGACTGCCCAGGGATGGTATTATTCAGCATCTTCGCACGCTCAGTCTTCATTGCATTCCGACGGGAGCCGAGTGAACAAAGATGATTATTCAGTAAAGCCAGTCACCTTTTGAGAGGCCAGAGAAATCTGACCAATCAAAATACAGGATTTCTTCGTGATGTCATTGTCCTGATTAAAGTAAATTGCTCTGCAAAATTATGTAACATTAATAGGGTCTAGATTCTACACTAATAACTTATTAAATATAGGCTTTGTATAAAAAACCTTATGCCCACGTACCCACGTACGTGAGTCGTGATACAGTCTTTGATGGGTTCAATTTTTAAAGCTTTAAAGGATTATCACATCAATTTTTTTAAAATAGCGCCAAAGGCTCAAAGGCTCGTCAAATAGGGAAAATCTACGCTAAATTAGGTTTTAATATGTCGGGGATTTGCTAAATGGAATTCTGTGCTTCATTTTGTTTAATCACAGCAAGGGGAACGATGATTTTAGTCTCAGGGATCGTAAATTCATCCCAACACACGAAAGTGTAATTGTTTGCTCAATTATGGATGGTGATTCCGAATTGGATGACGGGGAGAGTAGTACACCCATAAAGACAAGGTTGTAATGCAACCTAAATGTGGCAATATAGTCACACCTTAAAGACAACTTCCTGGAAGTCCCCAGCAAATGAAAAACGTGACAATTTTAGTGAATATTGCTTCTAGTGAACGAGCATTAATAGATAAAAGATCCGTCATACTAAGTATATAAAACTGCCCTCAGGTCATTCATGACCATTATGACATATAATATGGTAGTTAGTAAGGCATTAATCATGGCATAGTGTTCAGGTGCATCCTAATTGTTATTGAGGCCATAGTGACCTTGTAAAGGTCAAGTCAGTGCATATCTGATAATAAAATATTCTTGTTTGCAATTTTGACCTTAACCTTTGATTTTCATTTCATTTTTTGTTTTATTATTTTATTTGGTTCCATTGACTTAGCATATGGATATCAGCATGTATCGACTTGATGATATCCTGATGTTAAGTCAATTATTCTTTCAAATGAGCTGGGTATAATGCTCCTTCTTAACCTTGGGACAGCCTTATCTTGACATTCTAGGTAGGTTACCAATTTCAGTCAACATCCAAAATGGTACGAAATATTTCGAAGAAAATGCTCGACATATACACATATTTCAATGCAAATGCGTGACATACGGAACTCGCGTGAAAAGTCCGAACGGAATGAGTTCGCCTTTTTTCGACGTGCACTAATGCATTTACAATTCAGCATAGACGAAGATTGAATGATCTTATATTTTAAAAATTGAACCCTCGTACGTGGGTCGGGACGTGGGTACGAGGTACTAGGTTTTTATACAAAGCCTTAAATATACGAGAGTACAGGAATGCATAGTATATAATAAACAATTACACATGAAAACATGGAGACTGGTATCCATGTCGTGTATTTAAAAAATGTGTACAGACACCATCATACAGAATTTAAGAGTTGTTCAGACACCATCATTCTTCGAAACGAAAAACAGTCATATCTCAAATAATATGCGTCCTCTGCTTGTCAATTTAGGTTCGTTTGAAAGACTGAGATAGTATACATAAGTGGGGAGAAACTTGACGCTGTTAACAAAGTATAAATATGAAAAATATTCATTTTTCTGGCTTAATCGAGAAAACCGTACAACTTGTTCAGACACCATCAATTACGAAGGTCACGTGATGACAATCCCCACCGTGTACATGGGACTGTGCATCATTGACTTAACATGAGAATATCAGCAGATCCCTATAGAGGCCATTGGTTTCCATTGATTATCACCAAAATACTAAAGATACACTATGACCTGAATCGACTGCAACCTTAATAATTTCATAATATGACACAAATTGTTTATCTCATCAAATGTGCAAATATGAAGTTTGCAATCGATTCAGGTCATACTTAGAATTAAAGTATGCTACATGTGAGAGAATATAATTATCATGCCATCTATGGAACATATATAACTCTATCTATAAACATCATTGCATAAAATAGGGTACATCTAAATGTCGCTCTAAGTGACATCTTTTCATACACTTCACACTAAGGTCATGGCCTATGAGGTAAAAATGACAAATGGATTATCAGATAATGCTTATCTCATTTAGATCATTTTTTCTTTTTGGAAATCAATCATGCGACATAGCTCAATGTTTTCGTGCATTAATCTCATTAAAAAATTGCTACTTTTAGGTCAAAAATTCGGCCTAAAAAGTTATTGTTTTTGGATTATCCTAATCCCAAAGTAATCAAGTTTGCCTTTTTAGAGGTAGATCATTCCTTGCAATAAATTGTAATTTTGCCATAAAAGCTGAAATAAAATGCTGCATTTTTGGTGAAAATTGCGTCCGAATTCGGGAAAATTTGGTGAAGATGGTTGGATTAGGAACAGCTTAAGAGATAATCCATTCAACTTGATTATCATCCTACTGTCATTTATTGAAGACAAGACATGGATCTAACAGAACCTTTTGTTTTTGTGGTTAAAGTATTCTTCGAACTAAAGATATAGTCCTTTGAAAATGGCTTGCCATATCTTACGTGCACCTTTTTCACAAAAGTATATTTGTTGGCAATACGGCTAATCGCTTCAGAAAACCCGTGTGGTGGTGATTTCATACTAAAACATCGTGTTTTAACAAATCCATACATTCATAAAATGACAAACGGACTTGTATTTTAAATACTGTTGACCTCTTAATTGTACCCCCCCCCCCCCCAAGGAACTACCGTTTGTGTAATTAGGAACTCTAGGGTTCGATATTTTGATTTTCAACGTAAGTATATCCTATATAGTTTTTCTGCATTTAGAATATTGTTTTAACAGTTTTACATGTACCAAAAATACTGTAAAATTGACATCAAAATTGCAGCCATTTTAAAACTGTCAGCCATTTTTGGAAATCAGCTTTGGAGCAAAATTTTTACTCTTATTTGGCATTGAAAATATCAACAATTTTGGTCCAAAAGTATTTGACACTTTTGCCCACACAGATGGACGGACGTACATACGCACCGACGGACAGCGCATTTCTTTATATCTTCCCGAACTTTGATTGTAAAATCATGAAGCTACAAAGAGTTAGCAAGTCCTGCAGAAATAATAAAGAGCAATATTTCCTGGGGTTTGTGTAAAAGACCGGGTGACCGGGTAACCAGGTAACCGGATGACCGGGTACTTAACGTTCCTAGCAGGGTTAGGATTTTTTTATTTATAACGTTGGATCTGGACGACACATGTACGTTATTTTCGACGTCACGTTTTGAGGTTATTTCACATCGTAAATACGTTTTGACAACGTTAACTTTTAACGTTAAAATAACGTCGGTAATGAACCGATTTAGTGAGAAAATATTGACATCTTTGAAACGTTTCCTTGACTCACAAATGTTTTGAAGCCATTTCCACAATGTTGAAATTTTACCATCCATCGACGTTTTGCTGAATATTTAAATACCGTCAGATCAATACGGTCCATGAACGTCATTATTGACGTCACGTTTTGAGGTTATTTCAAATCGAAATAAAAACGTTTCGACAACGTTAAATTTTAACGTTAACAATACGTCGGAAATGAACCGACTTAGTGAGAACACAAAGTTTTTGTCATGTTTTTTTCAACCAACAAATATTTTGATATTAAAAGCCTGTTTTTACAACGTTGAATTTTAACGTTTGAGTTACGTCACATATGGACCAATGTAGTAAAAAATCAAACGTTCCTGTTTGTTATGTGTTCCACACTAACGAACTTTACGGACACATTACAACAACGTTCTTTTTATACCATCAACAGATGTCTCAGTCATGTTTACGTTGCCTCGATGTGTAAAGAACGAAAATGTGCAACGTCTTCTACGAACTTATATGCTACTTCTGAGCAACGTGACATGGACGTCACTGTTTGCTGGATCGATTATTTTAAAAAGTGCTCTGTCTCGTATAGGGTAAAAATATCGAACAGCAGTGCACTCGGTAGGCCGGTTACCCGGTCACCCGGTTCTCAAGACAGCAATTCCTCTTTTCAATTTCTTTACCTTAAAAATTGAGTAAAAATAACATTTCATAGGCTTCCAATTTTAATAAACCTATATACAACCTAATTCATGTTTAAATGCAAAAGTTTTATTTTTGTCATTGTATAAATTTCTTAAATTCACGAATATTATTGGTAATCTCCATTCGTAAATTCACAATGTCCAAAATATCTGCACAATAAGTCTCGAATGCAGTGAGTACATAAAGTCATAATGTCGGGGCTGGGTGAAATCATGAAGTCAAGCACGGGTGCAACTATATTTGACGGCACACACAATTTTAGCACTCGCCATGTCTAATGGATTATTTGTACATTGACATATCAGACAGGGATCGTCTCGGTTCACGTATTCACCAATAGCATAAAGTAAACCATCTTCCTCGCAGTCTAAAAACAAAAACAAGTATGTGAGAATTCATTTTTTGCAAGAACAATTATAAAAGTTGTTACAGAGAGTAGGTTGCTCTTTTGTGTAAATGGTTTGCAATTGTGCACGGCTGACATTTTATCTAAAATCTTTTGCGTACCATTCCAGAATATTTTGAGATACGTGTGATTACACGTTTTCACGTAATACTACAAAACAGAATATCAAATATTGTTTATAACATGAACATACTGCAAGACGCTAGTAATTAAACATCACCCCAATAAAACATAAATGCGCTGATCCGATCGTAGGGCTTGACGATCCAGAATATATTCTTTCTCTTTTTGATTCTAGACACCTGCTTGTTGTGTTTATTTGTTGGATTATCAACAATATTAATTCTGAAATAATCCCAGAATAACTTACGGGCACAATAGGATTTAGTGCAATCAATATCACCATCAGAACATTTACAGGTGTTACAGCCGTCGCCACGAGGAAAACTTTCTTCGTGCATATAGTTATTTCCATTATGGGCACAGCCTCTTTTAGGACACGCCTTCGCAGTGCATCCAATTTTACCGTCACCCATACAGAAGCAAGTATTGCAACCGTCAAGAGAAGGTACGATTTCATTGATATTGTAAAGCCTATGGAAGTAACTACATTGCGCCAGAGGACAACATACACCTGGGAAATGTCCTCTGGACATCTGACAAGTGAAGTCATCGCTGCAGTTGACCTTCTTGGTACCAGTGCAGGTTTTTACATTTCCAGTTGCATCTTTTTCTGGATGTACACATGCTAAGGCGGGGTGATCTGTAAAGATTAAGAAGTACATTTAAAACACTGGATGGATTCTATTTATGCTAGGGGTCCACGTCTTAATCATCGTGAACATAAACAACAAGGATATGGCCCTCCCGACTCGCATATCGTAATAATTATAGGCACATATAATCAATTTCGGGCTAGTATAAATATGGTAGTATGTTTTTTTTAAATTATCATACCAAAGACGATTTGTAAACAAATCGGTTGATTACATGTATATTTTAATATTATTCGATCGTTGGCTTATGCCTTTTAGACAAATGCCTGTCTTCTGGACATACCTTTGCACTTGGCAATCGCAGGACAATGGGCTTTCTTACACGCTCTGTCCTTTTGAGCTTCACAGATGTGTAAAGGAGGGCAAGTCATTTTCTAAAAGTGAGAATGAATAAGTGACATATGAATAATAGCAATGATTCAATGAAATATTCTATTTTATGTTTTGCCCGGAAGCGTGAAATATGTTTTGGTATTTCTATCATGTGGCACTGCACTAGCCAATCAGAATACAATGATTCTACCAATGATACGATAATCGGTTACGTTTTCCTTCATGTAAAGGTTATTTAAAGAATTGTACATACAACTATGCTCATTCATGTCATTGGGGAGATAAAAAAAAACAGCCAGCATGGAATTCTGAAACTGATAAGGGTAACCATTTCCCCCGAATCAAAATGCCCATGGCCATTTACCTGTTGAAAAATATGGAATGCTATTTTGAGTGTCAATATTACACTTCTTATACAGTATGTCAGTTATGCAGTGTTCTGATTTGCTGGAATGGGACACACCTTGCCTAGCTAGCTATGTGTGAATGTCTTACCATGCACGGATTGTCTTTACATTTACATATATGACAACCATCTGAATCTATCTCCAATCCAAATTGGCAGAACATGCTGCATCTAATGGGACCACATTCTAAAATACAAAATGTGAACTCGCATACTACCCATGTTTGTAATATTATTTTGATTATTTGATCTAATTTATGTAGAGCTGTATGTAGAGCAACATTTTATAATGTTGAAAAAATGATGTCACCAAATCATGGTGAGATGTCATTTAAGGGGCATAATTAGATTTTAAAGTTCATCAATTTTTGTTTCTTATAAATCTATTCCATCTATGCTCGACTTTCAAAATAAGATATCAAATTGAGCAAAATTGTTTAATCTTAATTAAAAAAAAGTGTTGGTTGTACATACTCTGACAAACTGGCTTGTAGTTTTCCACAACACAATAAGGACATTCCGACTAAAAATGCAAAGGCTTGTATTGATGCATCTATTTAATAAGGGCATGGACAAATAATGAAAATATGTAGCTTTCAAAAATAAGCTATAATTTTAGGGCCGTCCAAGACATGTATATCAAGAACTTGGGTAAAGTAAAAAATATCAAAAATATCAAAAATGAATTGAAAACTAACCCCAGCCCTAAAACCATGAATACTAGTATGTGAGTCAGAAATAAATTTAAAAAATGAGTTCCATAAATACAATAAACTAGAGTGTCAAAAATATTTAAGAAAAAATGAATTCCATAAAAACAATAAACTAGTGTGTCAAAAATATAAAAAAAAGAATTATATGAATACAATAACCTCGGGTGTCAAAAAGAGAAAGATTTTTATGGATATATTTATGGAATTCATTTTTGACACACATATTCATGGTCTTAGGGTTTAAGGTTAGGGTTAAATTCATTTTTCTGATTTTTTGACACAAAAGTTTATTGAATTTATGGAATTGATTTTTTCTGACACACATATTCATGGTCATTTTGGGATGGTCTTGATGGAATTCTATTTTTTGATTTTTTATTGTTTTGATATTGCCCATGATGGTCTGGATTTACCTCGTCCATGACTGCCATGATCAAAATTATGTGCAATATATTTGTAGGCTTTTTTAAAAGTTTGGGTAGCTCGGATTTGTCTCATCATTCGTTCCATATAGTTGTGGATGTGATATTGATATATAAATAGGATATATAAATTCGTACATATTTGTTGTATCCATTTTACCTGTGCGCATGGGTTACTTCTACATTCACACACTGGGCAATCGTTACTGTCTGTCTTTAACCCATATTCACAAGACATCATGCAGATCCCAGGACATTCTGGCAACACAATATGATTGCGTTTGTAGAAAATACGATTACTCATGTTTTTATCTAATGACATTGAGATTTCTCGCGATTCAATTGCCACATACATATATTACATAAATAATTTTCCCTTTTCCCGCCATATGATACATACCATACATATTAGAAATCCCATTTCAAGTACCATATATGCCAATTATGTAAAGGATAAACAATGTGCCTTTGGTGTTATGTGAAATAATAGCCAAGTTTTTTTGTGTCATACTGGTTTTTGATAGCTTTCCATGTGTCCATTGTTTAAAAAATAGAAAAATAATGTATACTTCTTTTGATACAACTGTATATTCTTTAAAATAAACTACAGCGCTCATTATATTGTGTTGCTATATAAGTGGAGTTTAACATTGATTAAAAATGATGAAATATTCACTGTCCACGCGAATCGAATTAGACAACCGAATGGTAAATAATAAGCAGCGATATAAACTGCTCCCAGGAATTTTTAAATGAAATTAATTTACTTCAGTCTACGGTGTAGACATATCAATACTTTAAGATTGTGAATTAATAATTTTGAGGATCGTGACTTGACACTTATATTATTGGTAAAACCTTTGTCATTTTCCCAAGATGATATTCCAATTTCATGGAACGTAACGTGTGAAAGTGACAACGGCATTCACCTCAATGAATGAAACATTTGTAAAATTTAGTATTACCAAGTAAATAACACATGTAGACAATGGATTTTGCCCTAGTATTGATACATAACTGAGCTCAACTCACTCTCACAGACTGCCTTATTGTTTTGTACCACACACACGGGAGTGGCGCTGCTCTTTGGACAAGGGCTTGGATCAGCCTATAGAAAATTGCAAAATAATCAATTATTTTAGGTTGTACCCATAACTTCTTGTTGAACGATGATACGAATGTCATCGGTTATGATCACATTGACGTTATATTAATTATGTGGAAATTGAAAAAAAGAAAAGAATGAATCCGGGTTTCTTATCCAGTTTCTCAAGAAAACTTTATCAACAGAATATAATTAAGTATTTCAGTGTAACATGCCTTGCAACATTTATACTGATTTACCAAACAATAAACCGTCCCAGGAATAAACCCATACATTAGGAAACTATCGTGATATATTAATTGGATTCAGGACGTGGGCCTGTAGGTAAACATATAAAAACTCCGACACAACGTCCCCTACACTTACCATACACGGATTCGTTTTACATTTACATATCTCGCAACCATTGCTATCCATCTGGAAACCGAACTGGCAGTACATCTCACACATTATTTGACTGCATTCTGAAATGTGTACTAACGTCATTCATGGACTTCTAACCCCCAGGGATAGAGACACTGGTTTATTCTAGTTGGCCCCTTTTTGTTTTGATTTATTAAGCTTAAGATATTTTAGGTATACTATAGAACACTGCTACTTAAAGTGTCATCATATTTACGCTTGCGCCATCTTTTCCTATCGTGTGCCATGTTTGAACACTGTACGAAACATGAAGTCGAGGTGGCCAAACTGCCCTAATTCACGTCACCATACTAGTCAATGGGCCAAAGGGCAAACGCCTGACTTTTTATCTCGAGTTATGGATTTATGTGGCCTCACGGGCCTATCTGAGGTTCTAAACCTATGTCTAAGCTATATTTTGACACTAAATTCAATAGGGGCCAAACATCTACTTTTTGAAATAATTGGTCAATTGTGACACTTCCCCCTCTCTCTGCCGACAGTAATTGAAATTCACAAAAATGAAGGCAAAATTAATACGCTACTTGATTCGAAATTTTCCTTCATATAACCCAATTAACCGCATTTTCAGAAGAAATGGCATGTTGTCATTGCAAAAAGAAGACAACTGTGCCTACATACTAGCTTACTGACGCGCCATGATCACAATTGTGTTAGGACTACATTCATTTTTGAAAACTACTTTTTTCTTGCATTCCGCTTCCTCATTCCCATGTAGGTAATTCTATTTGGCTATATTATCCACTCTTTATACTTACTTTGGCAACCTGCTGTACCATTGACCACATCACAGGTTGTATTTCCAGAACATCTATATCCCTGTAAAAGTAAATGCAATTTATATCAAATAAGAAGTGTATTTTTAGATATCGTTGCGATGCTCTCTTATGCCACCACAGCTAGAGCCCTGCTAATACCCTCGTGACTATTGGTAATTGGAATTTGAAGATGTTATTTGAACATTGTGTAACTGTACACTCATTGTTACGGATAAAAGAATCAGACTTCTCTGTTCGTATTATTGAAATGTATTTCAAATTAACAAGTGCAAGTGATTAACAAGTGACAAATGTCCTTTCAAATCTTTCTTTTAACTTTTGTGTTCTGATAGACAAGGATAGGCTTATAGTCATATTGCCGTCATAAGGTATCTAAAACCAGTTTTGAGATATGATGTCTAGAAATTAAAGTAGGTCAACCAAAAAGTTTTTTTTAATTTTACCATTTTTTAAATCATCTACAAAATTTCAATATTCCGAATCTGAAATCAAAATTGAAATCCGACTTTTGGTTCGGGATCTATGACCTATAAAGGTAAAAAAAATAAATCGTAAAGTTAACAAAATTGTTTTCGTTTAGTTTAAAATAGGTTAACATGATTAAAAAGACCAAAAATCATAAGTCAAGCTCAAAATGTACAATTCACAATTACCACACTATGCTTTTATTTTTCTTTGAAAGTGTGTGTACTGAGAGACGGGAATAGGCTTATTGTCTTAGTTTTCGCCGTCATAAGGTATTTTAAACCAGTTTTGAGATGTAGTGTCCAGAAAGTTTGCCAACAAAAAAGTTCTCCAAATTGTTTGAGGTGTCAAAATTATAGGAAAGGAGGAGGGAAATTAGCGCAACAGATTTTGGACAGTCATATGTTGGATTTTGGCCATTTTCTGAGGATTTAAACAATGCATATGTTAGGCCAATGCATTACCTCCAGGAAAATCACTTCTAGAGATGATAAAATAACTTTGAGACAGGGTAGATGCAAACAACCCACCTACATGATTTTTCTGAAATGTTTTCCTAATTTTCGACCCTTTCCATCCCTGCTTTTCTAATTTTTCTTGCATCAATATGTTGCATTTTGACACATAGTTAACCACTCTAAAGGAATAAGTGATTCCTTCAGGGGTTTTAAAGATACCCATTATGGGTGACCAAACTTAACTGAAAGCAATGATTTTTCCTATGGGAAAATAACATGGGAAATGTTGTTTTCCACTTTATCTAAAAGGAATCATTTATTTCTTTTATGGGATTAACTGTGTGTCAAAACGCAACATATTAATGCTAGAAAAATTAAAAAATCAACGATGGAAGGGGTTGAAAATTAGGAAAACATTTCAGAAAAAACATGTGGGTGAGTTGTTTGCATCTACCCTGTCTCAAAGTCAAAATCATTTTATCATCTCTCGAAGTGATATTCCTGGAGGTAATGCATTCGCCTAACATAGGCACCTGTTTAAATCCCCAGGAAATGGCCAAAATCAAACATATGACTGTCCAAAATCTGTTGCGCTAACTTCCCTCCTCCTTTGCTCAGTATTCTGAATCTGAAATAGGCATTAACATTTGGCTTCAGATTCAGATTCTACGCCATTTTGAAATGTTTAGAAAATCTAGATGATGATATCCTTTATTGAGAAAAACCTCTTGTCCCACACGTCTGTCCTCTCTGTCTTTCCGTCCGTTTGTCTGTCTGTCTGTGAACTAAAAAAATCAGTCATCTAGAGTCTGAATTCCTATTTCTAGTTACAGTTGCTAAGCTTAGTATATTGTTTGTGAAATGTCCTTAAGTCCATCGCGATGCGAATATTTTAATTTCCATCGAAGAGTATGCCAAAATAATTCAATAAATGTATTCCGAGAGAATGCTTAATTATAAGTTATTTGTTGGGAAATTAGGGTTCATGTAATTTAATATTCTTTGCCCATAAAACACAAACAAAATGTAACAACAAAGGCCTTTAATTCAGTGGTCATTTTAAAAATTCAAAAATGATATTCATAAAATTATACCATAGAAATTATAAAAAGTTAGTTTTACTCACAGGTCACTGGTGGATTCAAGTTTAAATCAAAATAGCTTACGTAACATGGATCCATATTGCATTTGTCGCATATGTTGCATCCATTGTTGTCTTTTTGGTGTCCATAGCGACAGTGCATTTTACATATATCTCCATTACATACCGTTGGGACAGCCTTATTGGGTAAAGCCATTTGCATCGCATTTGGCACTAAAAATTCAAAATATTCGAGTCGATAATTGAAAATAAAAAGTCCTAGAATTACAGAGACGAGTTGTTCCTTTTCACTGACAGATAGTTCCTATCAAATAATAACTCACTTCTTTTTTATATATACGAGTGGTGATTCAAAAGAAATGGACAACATTTTATAGGCATAATTAACAATGTCCGACCAGTCTCATTTTTTAATAGATATTAGATTATTCAATTATCTACCAAGTGTTAAATTCTTATTGAACAGCATTCAATATTCTTTCAACTATGCGTAACCATGGTAACTAGGGTAGGCATGGGCGGAATTCATTTTTAAATGATAATTGAATATTTTTGTCATTTCGGTATGATTTTATTTTAATGACTCAATCCGCATGGATATATAAGAAGCTAAATCAATTATCAGGGAAGACTGACATATTCATTCTTATGCTGGTGAGTTGTAAATTCAGCAGCAAATTGTGCTGTATTGCATCTCAATGAATATTTTTAGAATATTGAGTCACAGTGAGTCACAAAGTAAGTCAGACTCTAAGATTCACACATATTCAAGAAACGCCTGGAAAATGTGTCATTTACAACAAATTAAAGTCAAAGAATTGTTAAAGTATAATTGGTAGCAATCGGAGACACAAGGCAGGCTGTTGTAAGGAAAATCAAACACTCACATAGAAAGAAATTTTCAAGACAAGCCTTTAGAGATTGTATAAGCACTGAACAAGCACTTCGGTGGAGGTGATGAGAGGGTACTGAATTTTTTAGCGATCTGGAAGACCGCAAACTTGCCACCCTGATCACAAGGATAACAACAATATTCATATTTTATCAAATATGGAAAAAGATTCCTTATCATGAAAATTCTTATCATTATGATGGCAATATGCTTAAAAAGCCAATTCCGGGTTAAAGCACTCTTATAACGTTCCCATATACAAAAATACAATTATAGTTATGTTGTAAATGTATCAAATGGCTAGTGTTGTTGATTGAAAAAAGAATGAATAATAAAAATTAATGTAAAACTTACTTCTTCTGTATTGTTAGTTTAAGTTGAACAAACATCCCGATGTGTTTGAATGACTAATCTATATCATATTTCCGTTCAAGGTATTGTTTTAGTTCGCTTCGACTCTGATTATTTTATATTGTTACGTTTGTTCTACACTGAAAACAAATTATACCATCCTCGGATATCATTATGGGCTTTCAATATTTCGTTCCATTATTTCCACATTGTTACAATTGCATTTTCGCTGATATTGGGAAATCAGAGGTTTAGGGCTTCATAACTTTTGAGGAATCATTTTTAAAAACTTGTTATTTCGTCAGTGGGTAATCATGTGTATTTCATACCTACTGAGGTTCTAGGTACATAACGAGAGGGAATATATAGTGTATCTAGGGAGCTATCACCAAGGCCCGGGACCAGGATGGATACACGCTGCATCCATCCCATTCAAAGAAATTCACTTTTTTTTAATTTTTTCAGTTTTTTTTCAAATTTTTTCAATTTTTTTAAAAAAAAATTTCACATTTTTTTCAATTTTTTTTAAATCTCTTTTTTCAAATTTTTGGAAAATCTCGCAAACTTGCATTGGAATTTGATAATAAGGTATGATGTACCTAGAACCTCAGTAGGTATGAAATACATATGTATAACCCTTATAACCCTTATGTATATGTAGTGCATAAATCACTGATTTTAACAATAAATAATACATTTTTTTATGGTTTCTTGTTTTTGAAATATAAAAATAGGCCTGAAAACTGAATTTTTATTCACTTCCAACTTATTGTCTCGTATAACCATCATTATACTCATCTAATTATACAGACTCGTATTCCATTTTGACTGATTAGGAGGTTTATGTGAACCTTGTTGACAAGTAATACTGGGACATTTTGTATAATATTAGATACTTACGTTTCATATTACACACTGGACAGCATCTTCCCGGAGGTATATACGAACATTTTTGACAAGTAATACTGGGTTATTTTGTATAATATAAGAAACTTACGTTTCATATTACACACTGGACAGCATTTTCCAGGAGGTATATGTGGACCTTGTTGACAAGTAATACTGGGACATTTTGTATAATATTAGATATTTACGTTTCATATTACACACTGGACAGCGTCTTCCCGGAGGTATATGTGAACCTTGTGGATACGTAATACTGGGACATTTTGTATAATATTAGATACTTACGTTTCGTATTACACACTGGACACTGGACAGCGTCTTCCCAGAGGTATATGTGAACCTTGTGGACAAGTTATACTGGGACATTTTGTATAATATAAGAAACTTACGTTCATAATACACGCTGGACAGCATCTTCCCGGAGGTAAATGTGAACCTTTTTGACAAGTAATACTGGGGCAATTTATATAATATTAGATACTTACGTTTCAGATTACACACTGGACACCATCTTCCCGGAGGTATATGTGAACCTTGTGGACAAGTTATACTGGGACATTTTGTATAATATAAGAAACTTACGTTTCATATTACACACTGGACAACATCCTCCCGGAGGTATATGTGAACCGTTTTGACAAGTAATACTGGGAACAGGATCTTAAGAGGTTCTGGACAAATCATTTGATTCTGGACTTGTCATATTTTTTTTTCAACGAAATCACATCCAAGGGTTGAATTTTTATTAGCTATTTAGAGAGTGAGTCCTGCCTGGTATTAATTTCAATAAAAAAGTTAAAATAGAACCCTATTTGAGAGTCAATCTAATACTTACATTACATTGATAAATTAAGGCAAATCCTGAAATATTTTTAAAGTGCGTTTTTTAATGAAATATTTTCCAGCAAGTATTTAAATGAAACGGTCTTATTTAAATACAAATCATAACATGATATTTTTCATGAAACATTTTTCAATGAAATTCAATTGAAGGGTCAAGATAAAACGAGCTAATTTAGGTGAAAACCCTTACATGATGATGTGTTTTCATAACTTCTTTCATAAAATTCCATCAAGGGGTGAAGATAAAATGATCGAATTTAAGTGATTTAAGGATCACGAGAATATGTTTTCTTTGATATTTTCTATGAAATCCCATCCAATGGTCAAGGTAAAATTTTGATTTTGATTTTGATTTGGTCACGTGTTCGAAAGATCCATATAAGGCCCATAGAACCATATAGGAACGTCATTTTGAATGTCACGTGATAGATCCATATAAGGCTTTTAGAACCATTTATGGAAAGATGAGGGAAGCCCCTGACACCTGTTTCACGATTTTTATGCACTTCATTATTGTACCGAAGTTTGCCGATTCGATTCGTCGTATTTCGGAATCCTGGTGACAATTTTATACTCCATTGGAGTATTTTTGACCTACTTCTTATGACGGAAATTCCCGAACCTTGTTCGAATTAATCCGGATTTTCTGACCTACCTTATCTACCGAGATTTCACGAGTTAACACTCGTCTCATTCCGAAATCCTGGTGACAATTTTATACTCCATTGGAGTATTTTTGATCTACTTTTTCTGGATTTTGCCCTACTTATTATATCTTGACAACAAGCAAATCAAAAAGTTCGACATGAACGGGTCTCGATCAACTAACCTAGACTATGGAAGCCAGGCACGCTAACCATTAGGCCAACGAGCTACCGATATGAAAGAACAAAAGTATTATATATTTATACCGAGCGTCAATTCAAAATGATCCTCACTTTTGTCTCCACTTAAAGTGTGCGCCTGACCCGGCTACGTATAGCACAGAGTTTATACTGGCGGATTAGACTAGTTCATTTTTTATATGTGTGTGAAAGCTTTCTCTTATTTTCGTTTTTTCGTTTAGTACGGTTTTGTTATAATTGCCGAGGTCATATAACCGAGATAAAACAATGATTATCGTTGACTGCCCACACACAAAACACACGTTGAGTGAACAGTGTTATTACAAACAACAGGCTTTAGAATACAAAGCGTAGTGTGATAATAAGCTGTACACTACCACTGCTGCATGTACATATTACTAATTTACTAGGGCTCCCAAAGAGTGGATAGGGAGGTTGTGTTTGTCACTTTTAAATTTTACATTTCAAAATCGTCATTTTACATGTCATAATTTGTTGGTTTCATTCGTTTAGCCAATCAAAACATTGTAAAACAATAAATTGCCTGTTACGTACAATCAATTTTGTTCAGTTTTGATTAGTTGTCAGATCCATGTATCAAAACAAAAATCCTACTTTCACTTCAAAATACTTCAGTGAGATGAAGGCTCGGAATTGTCACATGCAATAACTTATTGTTGTATTCGTTATTTTATCTTCTCGATAGTAGCATTTAGTCGCACATTTGATGCCAGGTCACCTTGTCGCGTACCTCTTGGGGAACCCCACATTTATGTGTGTACTCATGGAAGTAAATTCCCCGGTGTTGCCAAGAGTCACAAACTTTTCAACAGGTTCGAAATGACCAATTTCTCTCATATATACTCTAAATATTTTATTATTTAGCACCTACAAAGTATTGCTAATAACCATAATGTAATTTCAATAAGGAAACTTATCTGGCTACATGTAAATTCAATATCAACACTAGCTGTTCTCTCAACACGTCCTGGCTTACCTTGTGGTGACAAACCCTGGATTTTCGCTATTTATAGTTTATCAACACATGGACGCATGCGCATTTTATAGTTTATCGGGCACTTTAAATACGACTCGTCAGTTGTATCCAGAATAGTAGAACGCCTATGGCGCTAGTGAATAACCAAGTCCCAGGTGAGTGGTTCGTATCCCTCCGTGATATACTATTTTTGTTTTATTAAATACGACAGAAAGGAGCAAGGTGTAGGTTGAAAACAAGACGTTAGTTTGTTTCAAAACAGTTTGGAAACATTAATCTCTGGAACATTATTTTTTCAACACTGATACAAATTTCCCTGACATTTCCCTGACATGTCTACCGTTTCGAAATTCCCGGTCATCTTTGGCCCTTTTGACCT